CACTTATGATTTGGTCTGTTTGATTAATTGTATCGGCTAGAGTCAATGTGATTTACTGCATCGTAAAAGGAAATCTGAAATTTGAATCCGATTGCTGAATGCGAGCGAGAGAAAGCCTATTAGAATTATATAACATCTAGATGATATATATTATCAACAATATGCACACGTATGAAAACTACTTGAACAGTGATATTTCATCGTAGAAACCGTAACAGGGAAATGGTACATACATTGTATATGTGTCAGGATAGATTGCCTTTTTATATGTTTTACTTTTGTTGGTGTATGAGGCTGCATTCAGGAATATATGGAGAAGGAAAATATTTAAGCTCCTAAATAAAGATAATATTTATGTGTTTTTGAAAAAATATGCACAAAATAATAAGCGCACTAACTGTGTGTATTAGGAAGTGAGGAGGACAGACTTCTGGTAACTTTTCTAGATTATCTAATAAAAGGTAGCCAGTGGACAAAATTAGCAGGATAATTTATGTATTTTCTATCAATCCACTGTCTGATGGACAACACACTAGCGACACATTACATCAATCTTATCTGATCTATTGCTTTATTTGTAGGTTAAACAGATCAAAAGAGACGATAAGTAATACATTATAAAGTTATAAGTTCTACATCATTGCCGAGCGGTAAGGAGATTGTCCGGCGCGAGAAAAGTTATGATTGTCCCGATCGCGTCACGTGACGTCATAGAATCTTGATTAAGCACAAATTTTCTACCGTTAGGATAATTAGGTATATATAGCGTACTACGACCCAACTAACCATGCAACACATTTAAACAATGATCTGTTGGTTTGTTTGTTTGTTGGTTTAAAGCCTTGTGTCCATGCAACACAGGTCAAATCAGGAGGACGCCGGACTCGTGACCGAAGGGTTGCGGGTTCGAGTCATGGCATGGAACTGTGTTGTATATTGGAGCAAGATACGTTACTCCCCTTGTTCCAGTCTACTCATCTGTAAATGAGTACGTGGTTGGACTGTGCTAGAATTGTAGAATGCTAGTTGTGAGCGCCGAAATGGCAGCCCCTGCTGTATGCTCCTTAGGGAGTTGAGAAAGATATTGACTGGTTGCAGAGGCCCTACATTGAATAACCACAGATTATAATTTGTGAACCGATTTGAGACGACCTACGAACTAGGTTGTGATAAAGCGGTATATAAGAACCTTGAATTATTATTATTAAATCAAGATGCCGTTCCATCAGCTAAGGTCACATGAACACGGAGTCCTACTGACAACGAGCTTACCAGTGCCTTTTAACACTGAACGCTATCATTGTGTCACAATGTTAAGATTAATCCAGATTTGTCCTCATATTACAATTCTTGTGTTCACACAGCGCAAAAATGTATGACATTTCAATCAATTACTGCAGCATATCTTTTGTTAACGAATAATTCAATTGTTTTATTTGGCATACATAACTATTCATATTAAATACCCGAAAGAAATATACAGATTTCCTTATAGAGCCTTTATGACCATTATACAGAGCATGCATGTAACATGTCACATTAGGTTAACTAATAACGTATGTTCTAATATTTACGTTTAACTACTTAGGATTTCATCTGTATCAGCCCTTTTCTGGAGATTACATGTATGTTTTCGTTTAAATAACATCACTTACCCGTGGTTGCCACTACCTCCATGACGTGTGGGTTTCTTTTGCCATATAAACACTCTTCACTGGTTTTTTTATATTTATTGACTTTTAAAACAGTCTTAACGTTACAATGAAACAGATGGAGCGTATTGCAAAAAAGAAACAATTAAATATAGATAAAAAGTTTAATCTCTGGGGTATTCATCTATTGTTTTATTCTCGACTTGAATGTCATCTACTTTTTATGGAAGTCGAGCAGATTTTTTTCTTTCTTTTTTCTTTTCTGTTTTAGTACAGGCTGGTTTTTATTAGAACACCACCAAACACGTTATATATAGTGCAGGCTTGTTTTCATTAGAACACCACCAAACACGTTATATATAGTACAGGCTGGTTTTCATTAGAACACCACAAAACACATTATATATAGTACAGGCTGGTTTTTGTTAATAAATGTCTGCGTAGGTATTTCGATAATTCGACATACTTTTTCTAGATATCTGTCTCCCGATGTAAAAGTATCTATATATTCCAACGCTAGGAAAAAAGGTGTTGTACATGCTGTGACAGTGTACATTGAGTTTGACCAGGTGGTTTTCCGCATATACCAAGTTTGTTTTTGCTTCACGTTTAGCGTTTTTCATGCAGCAGTAATGTTGTAATCCTATATGTGCATATTTTGTATATGATATTTCTCTAATACATGACAATGCAATTCAAAGTATACTTTCTGAGAATAATGAATTGTTTTAATAAAATCTGTGCATATCTTAAAAGGGCATTTATTCTCTTTAGGGCTAACACAACAAAATCAGCCAATCAGCAATCGTTTCACACGATTGTAATCCCTATCTAAAATTTGTTTCGGTTTAATACATTGGCTCTGAGTAATTTAAATGGGTAATTGTTGACATAATTTTTCTTTGAATGGAATCTTCAGATATTTAACTTTCGAGAAAATGTGTACTTTTAGAAGATTGTAATATATGATGGCGGATTTATATGGGGTCTAACGTCTAGGGCTGTTGCCGTCCCACTTCACCGGTTTGGCTTGTACACATCCGGTTGTCAAACGCAGACGCATGTAGCGCTCGTATTTGTCATTAAACCTGCCAAAATTGCCCTTTGAGACCATGGTCAAGTTGTATCTAGGAATCTAGACCGTTGCCACTAGTGTTGAGCTTCAAATAGTTAAGCTTTTAGTTTAAAAGCTTAGTAAAAACATATAGTAAATATTTTAGTTGTGTGAGTCCTTTAGATAGGATATATATTGACGTTCCATTGCCATAGAGTAGAATTATTCGGCCGAATACAAGATAATTTGATTTTTCGAACATTTTCCACTTCGACGTTAACCCTTTTGAATATATTTGCTATGTACATGTATATAGGTTCAGTGTGAAATAATCACAAATTTGTCACGACTATGATACTTTATGAGAATCATTTATTAGACCATGTATACATTCCTGGTAGATTCCAATTCCATGTCTTACGCTGACACTTGTAGGCATTTTAATCTTCCTGGCCTCGAACATAGGCGGGCATTTTCAGACGTGTATTTCTTTACAAATGTGTTAATAGTGCTTTTGATTGCCCATATTAAGTCAAGCAAATGTGTTTTTTAAGTCCCTGGTCGTAATCTACGATCAATTCGTTTCAACCAGTTTTACTGCCAGAGAAGTAGAATTAACGTTACAAAGTACAGTAGTTTAAGCAGGATTCGATGTAATGTTAACTATCTTGATTTGCACCAAACTTTTGTATGTTTTGTTCCTCTCTCGCACACTTCAAAGTACGGTTAAAGAATATTTGCTATCACTGATTCCTTTTGTTTTACACATGAGTATCTTTAAGTCTGTGTTACATGCATAACTGACTTTGATATCTTATACTTGAGTTGTATCGTTGATAACATTTCCGGAAACTTTGATACTTCGAACTGATCCATAATATATGAATACGTTTTGTTAATTTGTATTTATTTGAATTTGCGACAATGTTTCGTTTCAAACTCAAGTATATATTGATGCATGTGTATATAGTGAAATACAGTACATTTACAGCTTGAATATAAAGTATTTAAGGACAGCAGGTGAAATTTATAGTCGACCGTATTTGACCAAGACCGATAGATTGACATTTTTATATCTGCTGAACCATACTTCACAAAGGTTTCAGTTTACCTGTACTTTGTGCTATGTAAACCATAATGTGTAGGAGGTTAAGAGTACACGTTCCTCCGTTCTTGTGTCAGGAATGTTGCATATATTAGTGAGCTAGGGATTATTTTATCAAGAATCGTCAATGTAATGTAAATTGAATGTTACACAAAAGGAAAATAACAATCATTTTGCTATTTTAGATAGAAGTTTCTTCAATATTGAAATCGGTATGATCAAACTAAATCAACAATTCTACTAAAATATTTAATTGTCTATTGTTATAAATCCATGTTCTTCGAGCATGTATGGTGTTACTTTCAGCATATTTATAACGGCCTCTGCATTTTCATCCAAATAAGTTATTTTTCAGGAAAAATAGCTCTGGGAAGGTATTGTTGTAGACACAATCATAATGAATGATTTATAGGAGTGAAAGGGTTCATTGACCAGTGTGTGGCCTTTGATTATAGTAATAAATGGAGAACATCCCTATGAAAATTTAGTACGAACATCGTTATATCAGCTCTTGTCATCGGTGCGCACATTAAGTGACAGTTTGAATATATTAATAATCTATACAGGTCATAGATTGACCAGGAGTAACGGACTGGAGAGTTGTTTCAAACATGATGTATAAAATGGATGTCAGCTTTAGTGTGCGACGCCCTTAATTTATCATTGCAGTATATAATAAATACTCATTCTAACTATACTTACATGTACTAAATATAGCAAACACTCGTATTATCACGTAGTTATTTAATATACAACTTTTCACTTGTTACACAATGTACAATGTACGTACAAAATGTTACTCTAAATATATTAGGGCTACAATTATACATCGTACAACGATATATCGTAATATTTTGAATACGGTACAATACACAATATATTTTGGGAGGTCGAAAGATGTAAATTGTGTATAACTTTAAAGTCATGCCCATTTTGGACCAAGTCTTTTTCCAGTTGTTTTATTGCAATTAACAAGTTGCAACATATCTTTTATCTTTGCTTCTACAGTTACTATATGTATCGGCTTATGTATCGTATTGTGAACACAGTATCGTGAACATGAACACAGTATCGTGATACGTATCGTTTCGTAATGTTAATGTTTCGTTGCAGTCCTAAAAAAATTGTTCAGTATTCAATACTTTATAAAATAATAATACAACAAAGTGTAAATCATGATTATTATAAGGTTTATTAGAAACACGCAATATGCCTCAGCGTCAACAAACAGATAAGCTTTTATCTTACAATCGATACATAAATACAATGAAATGAAAGACATACGGAGATGAAACTGTCTCAGCAACAAATATAACCTTTTTTTAGACAATATGCAGGTATAACGATCTGGCCACGGTTACCCAAAAGGTTGGTTAACTTTGACCATTGATAAGTGAATCAAAACAAAATGTTTCCATTAAGAAACAGAGGATTTCAAGCGGGATAAGTCCTCACAACTCTAATCTTATCTATCTCAACAAATCCAAAACAATGAAATAATGTCAGATGTTCTTAATATTTGTATTCATATTTAAACTTTCCTCCAATCTTCTAGCAACCTGGGCCTTATGTATAAAATACACTTAATTTGATAAATGTTAAACAATCTTTTGTTTTAATCACGTACCTCCCGACTACTAAATTAGGCGTGTTGGCGGCTTCATGTCTCACTATTGACTATATTTTAGTAATTTATTTTAACTTGTTTTTAACTGTCCGGAAATTAATACACTTCATCACGTGTTTAAAACAAAACTAATTCATTGTCTTTTACATTCCACCAAAAACTTTTTTTTTTTATCCAGACATTTCCCAGATATGTAGTTTTTATCTGCACAATCCACAGAAACACATTTCGTATTTCACATTGATTAGACATAAATTATTTATCTGCACTCTCCAAAGAAATGTAATATTCATTTACAAACTCTACATAAATATATTCCTAATCTACACACTAAACAGAACCATATTCTGAAATTTCGTACTCCATAGGCAAGTTCATGGAGTGTTTGCATACATGCAATCCACAGAAATAAATGCTTTGCCACAAACTATCCCCAGACACACTTTTGCTAATATGCTATTTAAGTATGTATACATAACATGGAACATGGATGGGTATTACACCAATGGATGTGATAGTACATCATGTTTGCCAAAGAAATCTTGTGTCGTTCATTAATAGAGATAGTTCTTTATTGAACGGTTTATAAAACTGTTCCAATATATGTCTGGTCTTGTTGAGCATCTGCCCTACTGCTCGACTTGACGGTCTTCTTTCATTGTAGTGCACTGTTCTAGTTCCAACTTTACCAATATCACCTAAATGTGTAATAGGAATGGTTGATAATTACCCCACCACATCAGTAATACATTGATTTATTTCAATATTAACTATCTGTAGGTAGGGAAAATGTAATCCAAACGTCGCTGGAACATATTCCGCTCTACGACAAAGTCTACAGATAATACAATAGGACAATGCCTTGAATGCATTGCTTATTAAAGAATCTCTATATCATTTCATACATAGTCTTTGTTACGGAAACAGGATTTAATAACAAATTTATGCGATCATATTTGATTAAAATATCATTTACTTACGTAAATCAAGGAACTTGAAAATTTTCGACATGGCCATTGACGGATTCGTCGAGTATTCGTCTAATGAGAGGACGAGAAGTTGTTTCCGTGGATAAATGTTCATCCAGTCTTTTAGGTACACAGCGTATAAGCCAATAAACAGTCTTTCCTCCGCAGTAAAACCCTTCGCACAAAAAGTACATTAACATATTTACCGGGAAATGTACAAGCTAAAATATCTCTTGTATCCTTACAACAAACAAAAATTGTCATCGCATTCAACAACAGCAAAATACAACAAATACAGCATAGGTATCTCATTGTGCCTGCTAAACGTCAAATAGCCCTTAAAATGATGATAAAAAACCTTTACAAGTCCTAAAAACCTTACGACAAATCAGAAAATATATTATGATAACCTTTACAACAAACGGTAAGTATTTCTAAAAGCTTTACAATAAATAAAGAACAGTTTCGATTACCTTATAGTAAACCAAGAATAGTGTAAATAGACTTACAAGAAAAGTCTCAACAACCTTATACAAGACCGTCAATATTCCAGATAACTTGAAACAAACCCGGATTAGTTTCGATTAAATTATCAAAAACTGGAAAAGGTTAAGGTTATATTACAGAAATCACTAAGCAATAAACTAAGTTAACTTTCTTATATACAGACAATACATGTAGTTCTGAAAACCGTATAACAAACCCATATTTACCAGTGTTAATCTGTCAGCAAATAGCGAATTGTTAGAACGGTGAACATCATAACCTTCACGCAGCGAAAATAGTCAATATAACACTAAATCAAAAATAGTCAATATAGAACTAAATCATAAACAGTCTTTGGAATCAATAGACCATTATTCAGGTTGACTCACCGTGTAAACGCAATGACGGAGGCTTTTCTTTGTTAAGCACTTGTTGAAATCTTTTATCGAACGGGTGACTTTGTTATGGAACGATTTTGCAGACTTTTTTTCATTTGGCGAGAAATAAAGATAATCCGAATACAACCTGTAAGAAAAAACATGCAAAGATGTCTTGCGGTTATATCGTTTGAAACAGAAAATGTTTGTCCTTTCCTTTTTTTCAAATTTGAACGATAGCTAAGAACGGAATACCTTTCTCTTTGGGAAGGGTTGCGGGGTTGAGTGTTTTAGCATTTAACGTGAGTTGGAGACAGGTGCGTAGGAATTACGGTCAACCGGTCAAAGAAGTAGTCCTGTGTTTAAAACAATGAGCCAAATAAGACCGACAACTTCGTGACAAATATTGAGTTGGTAGATGCGGGAAAACGGATATTCCCTAATAAAATTCATTTTGAAAGAACCATTTGTACAACGTATAGTTCCAAAAAGTACATTATAAGTTAGCAATGAGTCGTATAACGAGTGGAAGCAACGGTCTGAATCTAAAACAAACCTGGTAATGCTGTTTAAAGAAATATTATGGTTCTCTTACTTTTTCGTTCGAATAGCTTTGTCTCATCTGACTAACTCTAACGACCACTTATTGACCTAACGACCATTCTTTATTGACGAGCAAGTGAGGACATAATTAAACATAATACTCATGTATTGCCACTATCATTTAGTATTTAAGATGGTTCTTGCCTATTGATGTAATTCTTAGATACATTGATGTTCGATGAACAATCTCTTTTATAAAAAAAAAAAAACACAAACAATTATTTTTAGTTTTCAAGGAAAAGCGTTGCTTTTCTTTTTGTAAAAACAAGCAATCGGATAATTTAACAGTTTCTGAAAGTGTGTCATGGGTCCGACGTTATTTAATGTTGCAACAAATTTGATCCATGTGACAATACAATAGGTCAAGGTAATGTCCTTCGCTACCTTTATAACACTCAATACCAGACATATATCTTGATTTAGAACTTCTGTGTTCTTCAGAAGTCACTTAAGAGGTTTAATAACTATACATTTACTATGATACAATGTTATTCCTATTACTAAACTGTATAGCATTCTTTGATAGCGTGTAATAGGCCAAACAACATCACCCTAGATCGTTTCGTTCCTCAGAAAACGTTTATCTAAGAAAAAAAGACGATCTACGGACAAAAGGCGCAGCGCTATGCGGTATCGGTTCAGTTGACCCTTCGAGCAAGGATTGATAAAATTTGGTTATCTGCCTTTGCAAAATCTAACAGAGAAAAGTATTAGGATAAAAGGACATCGAGGTTTGTGCGAAGGTCTGATTTATATCTATAGGGAGCTTAGTGTGATCTGAACATTAACAATGAAAGGCCTTGTTTGGTCTTTTAGCCCAAACTGAACTTATGGTAAGGTATAGATGTATTTCCTCGCCACTCCCACAAGACCATTTCATAACATATCACACGTCCCACTTTCACAAACCAGCTTTTTATATCCCATTCGAAGTGAATGTAACCACGTCATACCGGTCGACTGGATTTCTAAGGATGACCAACAATTTCACATCTGGCAGGATGTGACGTATGATATGAGCGTTGAGTAATCTAGGTTCCTCGTCATTCCTATTTTTAGTATACCACCACCACCATGTGTGATCCCACAGAGTAGACTGGCTACCTTCACCTGTAAACAGATGTCTGGCATAAGTAACATACTTCCTGATTGTAGTTTTTTTTCTTGATGTGTGGCATCTCATCATTATCTGGTCTCAAAGGCACTTTTTATATTGCATGAGTTGGACATAGGCTCAAGGAACATCTCATAATGTAAAACATGACGCAGAAATACATGCTTATTATTTAGTCTCTATAAACCAAGTATAGTATTAACGTTTTTGTTCTATATGAATTCCAGTATTTGTTATATTTCAAAATATTAAAGAGAACTTCTACATGCCTAGAGATAGGAAAAGCCTAATCTGAAACATCACAAACGACACAGACAGCTTGTCTACAAACAATACAGCAGTGTAACTCAACAAAACAAGCATTGCAAAACATATGTACATAAACACGCTACAACACATGTAAATAGACACGCTACAACACATGTACATAGACACGCTACAACACATGTACAATAGACAGGCTACAACATAGGTACATAGACACGCTACAACACATGTACATAGACACGCTACAACACTTGTACATAGACACGCTACACCATATGTACATAGACACGCGACAACACATGTACATAGACACGGTACAACACATGTACATAGATACGCTACAACATATTTGCAATAGACACGCTACAACATAGGTACATAGACACGCTACAACTCATGTACATAGACACGCTACCACACATGTACATAGACACGGTACAACACATGTACATAGACTCGCTACAACACATGTACATATACACGCTACAACACATGTACACTGCCACGCTACAACATATGTACAAAGACACGCTACAACATATATACAAAAGACACGCTACAGCACATGGACATAGACACGCTACTACATATGTACATAGACACGCTAAACACATGTACATAGACAACCTACAACCCAAGTAAAATAGACACGCTACAACACAAGTACATAGACACGCTACAAAAAATGAAAATAGACACGCTACAACACATATACATAGACACGCTACAACACTTGTACATAGACACGCTACACCACATGTACATAGACACGCCGCAACACATGTACATAGACAACCTACAACCCAAGTAAAATAGACAGGCTACAACACATGTACATAAACACGCTACTACATATGTACATAGACACGCTACAACACATGTACATAGACACGCTACAACATATTTGCAATAGACACGCTACAACATATGTACATAGACACGCTACAACATATGTATAATATGCACGGTACACCATATGTACAAAAGACACGCTACAACATTTGTACAAAAAACACGCTACAACTTATGTAAAATAGACACGCTACAATATATGTGCAATAGACACGCTGCAACATATGTACAACAGACACGCTACAACATATATACAAAAGACACGCTACAGCACATGTACATAGACACGCTACAACATATGTATAATATGCACGGCACAACATATGTACAAAAGACACGCTACCCCATATGTACAAAAGACACGCTACAACATATATACAAAAGACACGCTACAACATTTGTACAAAAAACACGCTACAACTTATGTAAAATAGACACGCTACAATATATGTGCAATAGACACGCTGCAACATATGTACAACAGACACGCTACAACATATATACAAAAGACACGCTACAGCACATGTACATAGACACGCTACAACATATGTACATTAGACACGCTACAACATATGTACAAAAACCACGCTACAACATATGTAAAAAAGACACGCTACAACATATGTACAATAGACATGCTACAACATATGTACAATAGACACGCTACAAAATATGTACAATAGACACGCTACAACATATGTACATAGACACGCTAAGACACATGTACAAAAGACACGCTACAACATATATACAAAAGACACGCTACAACATATGTACATAGACACGCTACATAATATGTATAACAGACACGCTAAGACATATGTACAAAAGACACGCTACAACATTTGTACAAAAGACACGCTACAACTTATGTAAAATAGACACGCTACAAGATATGTGCAATAGACACGCTGCAACATATGTACAACAGACACGCTACAACATATGTGCAATAAACACGCTACAACATTTGTACAAAAGACACACTACAACTTATGTAAAATAGACACGCTACAACACATGTAAAGAGACACGCTACAACACATGTATAATAGACACGCTACAAAACATGTACAATAGACACACTACAACATATGTGCAATAGACATGCTACAACATATGTACAATAGAAACGCTACAACATATGCGCAATAAACACGCTACAACATTTGTACATAGACACGCTACAACTCATGTACAATATACATGCTACAACACATGTACACTCGACGCGCTACAACACATTTACAATATATACGTTACAACACATGTACAAAAGACACGCTACAGCACATGTACATAGACACGCTACAATATATGTGCAATAGACACGCTGCAAAATATGTACAACAGACACGCTACAACATATGTGCGATAGACACGCTGAAGCATATGTACAATAGACACGCTACAACTAGACACGCTACAACATATGTGTAATAGACACCCTACGTCAAATGTACATAGACACGCTCCAACATATGTGCAATACACACGCTACATCATATGTGCATAAACTCGCTACACCCCATGTACATAGACACGCTACAAGACATGTACAATAGACACGCTACAACATATAGATACAACACGCTACAACACATGTACAAACATAGACACGCTACATAATATGTGCATAAACACGCTACGACCCATGTACATAGACACGCTACAATATATGTGCAATAGACACGCTGCAAAATATGTACAACAGACACGCTACAACATATGTGCGATAGACACGCTGAAGCATATGTACAATAGACACGCTACATCACATGTGCATAAACACGCTACAACCGAGTACATAGACACGCTACAACATACGCTACAACATTTGTACAAAAAACACGCTACAACTTATGTAAAAAAGACACGCTACAAGATATGTGCAATAGACACGCTGCAACATATGTACAACAGACACGCTACAACATATGTGTAATAGACACCCTACGCCACATGTACAATAGACACGCTAAAACACATGTACACTCGACACGCTACAACATATGTACAGAGACACGCTACAACACATGTACATAGACACGCTGCAACACATGTACATAGACACGCCACAACATATGTGCAATAGACATGCTACAACATATGTGCGATAGACACGCTGAAGCATATGTACAATAGACACGCTACATCACATGTGCATAAACACGCTACAACCGAGTACATAGACACGCTACAACACATGTATAATAGACACGCTACAACACATGTAAAGAGACACGCTACAACACATGTAAATAGACACGCTACAACATATGCACATAGACACGCTACAACATATAGATACAAAAGACACGCTACAACATATGAACAATAGACACGCTACAACACAACATATGTACAATGGACACGCTACAACATATATGTACAACAGACACGCTACAACATATGTGCAAGAGACACGCTACATCATATGTGCATAAACTCGCTACACCCCATGTACATAGACACGCTACACCATATGTCCAATAGACACGCCACATCATATGTGCATAGACACGCTACGTCATATGTGCATAAACACGCTTCAACCCACGGACATAGACACGCTACAAAATATGTGCAATAGACACGCTACACCAAATGTATAAAAGCCACGCTACAACATATGTACAATGGACACGCTACAAAATATGTGCAATAGACACGCGACAACAAATGTATAAAAGCCACGCTACAACATATGTACATTAGACACGGTACAACATATCAACATAGGTACATAGACACGCTACAACATACGCTACAACATTTGTACAAAAAACACGCTACAACTTATGTAAAATAGACACGCTACAACACATGTACATAGACACGCTACAAGACATGTACAATAGACACGCTACATCACATGTGCATAAACACGCTACAACCCCCGTACATAGACACGCTACAACATGTGTACATAGACACGCTACTACATATGTACATAGACACGCTACTACATATGTACATAGACACGCTAAGACACATGTACAAAAGACACGCTACAATATATGTACAAAAGACACGCTACAGCACATGTACATAGACACGCTACAACTCATGTACAGAGACACGCTACAACACATGTACATAGACACGCTGCAACACATGTACATAGACACGCTGCAACATATGTACAACAGACACGCTACAACACATGTAAATAGACACGCTACAACATATAGATACAAAAGACACGCTACAACAAAATTATGCACAATAGACACGCTACGACACATGTACAATAGACACTCTACAACATATGTGCAATAGACATGCTACAACATATGTACAATAGACATGCTACAACATATGTGCAATAGACATGCTACAACATATGTGCAATAGACATGCTACAACATATGTGCGATAGACACGCTGAAGCATATGTACAATAGACACGCTACAACATATGTACATATATTGTACAATAGACACGCTACAACATATAGATACAAAAGACACGCTACAACATAATTATGCACAATAGACACGCTACAACACATGTACAATAGACACGCTACAACACATGTACACTCGACACGCTACAACACATTTACAATATATACGTTACAACACATGTACAAAAGACACGCTACAGCATATGTACAATAGACACGGTACAACACATGTACAATAGACACGCTACAACACATGTACAAAAGACACGCTGCAGCATATGTACAATAGACAAACTACAACACATGTGCAATAGACACGCTACAAGATATGTACCATAGATACGCTACAACACATGTATAAGAGACACGCTACAACACAACATATGTACAATGGACACGCTACAACATATAGATACAAAAGACACGCTACGGCATATGTACAATAGACACACTCCACCACATGTGCAATAGACACGCTAAAGCATATGTACAATAGAATAGACACGCTACAACAATTGAACAATAGACACGCTACAACGTATGTACAATAGACACGCTAAAACACATGTGCAATAGGAATTCTACAACACTTGTGCAATAGATACGCTACAACATATGTAGAATAGACACACTACAACATATGTACAACACGCTACAACACATTTACAATATATACGTTACAACACATGTACAAAAGACACGCTGCAGCATATGTACAATAGACAGGCTACAACACATGTACACTCGACACAACACATGTACATACACACGCTACAACACATGTATAATAGACACGCTACAACATCTGTACAATAGACACCGGACAACATATGTGCAATAGACATTCTAAAACACTTGTGACACGCTACAACACATTTACAATATATACGGTACAACACATGTACAAAAGACACGCTACGGCATATGTACAATAGACATACTACAACATATGTGCAATAGACACGCTAAAGCATATGTACAATAGACACGATACAACACATGTACAATGGACAAGCTACAACATATGTACACTAGACACGCTACAACATCTGTACAATAGACACACTCCACCACATGTGCAATAGACACGCCACATCATATGTGCATAGACACGCTATAATATGTACATAAACACGCTACAACCCATGTACATAGACACGCTACACCATATGTACAATAGACAAACTACAACACATGTGCAATAGGCATTCTAAAACACTTGTGCAATAGACCCGCTACACCATATGTACAATAGACATGCGACATTTGTACAACACATGTACAATAGGCACGCTACAACACATGTGCAATAGACATTCTAAAACACTTGTGACACGCTACAACACATGAACAATAGACACGCTACAAGACATGTACAATAGACACGCTAAAACATATGTAAAAAAGAAACGCTACAACAAATGTACAATAGACATGCGACATTTGTACAACACATGTACAAAAGACACGCTACGGCATATGTACAATAGACAAACTACAACACATGTGCAAAAGACACGCTACAGCATATGCACAATAGACACGCTACAAGATATGTACAATAGACATACTACAACATATGTACAACACGCTACAACACATTTACAATATATACGTTACAACACATGTACAAAAGACACGCTGCAGCATATGTACAATAGACAAACTACAACACATGTGCAATCGGCATTCTACAACACTTGTGACACGCTACAACACATGTATAAGAGACACGCTACAACACATGTACCATAGACACACTACAACATATGTACAAAAGACACGCTATATGTACATAGACACGCTACAACATATGTACAATAGACACACTACAACACATGTGCAATAGACATTCTACAACACTTGTGCAATAGACACGCTACAACATATGTACAATAGACACACTACAACACATGAACAATAGACACGCTACAACCCATGTACAATAGACACGCTTCAACACATGTACAATAGACAGGCTACAACACATGTACATACACACGCTACAACACATGTATAATAGACACGCTACAACACATGGACAATAGACACGCTACAACATATGCACAATAGACACGCTACAACCCATGTACAATAGACACGCTGCAACACATGTACAATAGACAAGCTACAACATATGTACAAAGACACGCTACAACATATGCACAATAGACACGCTACAACACATGGACAATAGACACGCTACAACACATGTGCAATAGACATTCTAAAACACTTGTGACACGCTACAACACATGTGCAATAGACACGCTACAACATATGTACAAAAGACACGCTACAACATATGTACATAGACACGCTACAGCATATGTACAAAAGACACGCTACAACATATGTGCAATAGACACGCTACAACACATGTACAATAGACACGCTACAACACATGGACAATAGACACGCTATAACATATGTACAATTGACACGCTACAACCTATGTACAAAAGACACAATTAAGCATATGTACAAAAGACACGTTACAACATATGTGCAAAAGACACGCTACAACTTATGTAAAATAGACACGCTACAAAATATGTACAAAAGACAAGCTACAACATATGTAAAATAGACACGCTACACCACATGTACAATAGACACGCTACAACATATGTACAAAAGACACGCTACAACATGTGTACAATAGACACGCTACAACATATGTACAATTGACACGCTACAACATATGTACAAAAGACACGCTACAACATATGTATAATCGACACGCTACAACATATGTACAATAGACACACTACAACATATGTACAATAGACACGCTACAACAAACGTTACAGTGTATTTACAGTTTGTGTTACTTTTCAATGATTGTGAGAATAGAGAAGAAGGAATAAAAAAAGATTAAAAAATAGGAAAGAAAGAATAAAAAAAGATTAAAAAATAGTAAACAATAGAAAAGAAAAAATAGAGATGAAAGAATAGAGTTGAAAGAATAGGGAAGAGTAGAGAAAAAGAATAAAGAAGAAAAGAACAGAAATTGATCCCAAGTATTGCATACGGGGCAGCAGATCAGTGCTGGTTTCTCTAATTTCCCCTAAGCAGAATCCACATACGTTGTACTAAACCCCAACCTCTACAGTGTATATTCAAACATTATTAAAAACTTCATCTTTAACAAAATCCGAGACAAAATCCTTTAAAACCTTTTTCTGTAAATCTGCAAAACAATAACTGGATATAAAAATGTATTTACCCGTTATAAATCTTCGCCTCTTTGTACCATTAGCCTCTTGAAGGATTTCCGCAGCAGGATTAAAATAGTCTATATATTCAGTAAAAGACTGTGGTTGTTTGTCTGCAAATCACAAAACAGAAAACGGTGCAAAGACAATAACAAGCGGATTGTGGGCTTGAGCGCTTACCTGCATCGTCTTATACTTGTTCTTATGTTCATCTACTTATCGACAATGTCCTAGAAAAGAGCGGTAGAAATAATCGTGAACATTGTATATCATATTGGATTTCTGACCGAACTTTAAAGGAATGAAATTTCGTTAGGAAGATACTAATAACATTTAAATCATATATTTATTTAATAGTTTAAAGTTAAAAAAAAATCGGACGACGAAAGACAAAGGATCGCAATAAGTTGGAGATGCACTTCTCTTTATGCGATATATGTTGGCATCAATTTAGAAAATATGTTAGCTTCAAGAATAGACTTAGTTATCTCATTGTTTTCATTTATCGTAATAGATGGTAGTGACCATATCATGTATTAATCAGGCTGCTATAAAATGTACCACTGTGTTCATCGTGATACTGTATCATACAAGTGTCGTCTCGTATGCTCTGTCATATAATACTCAGTGGAGGCATCACACACCTATATACCGTATCACTTACTGAGGCTGTAAAATACTCACGTGCCAATATTATATCTTAGGAGACTCACAATTATGTGATTTGTCATAAAATACTCACCTTTGCAGAGATATTTATCCATTTTGTCTGCAAAGAGAAAATATATTGATAAAGTATTTTGAATTTAATGATCTGTTTTTAATTTGAGTAACCTCCCTTCGTACGATATTCACTATATGTAGCTTTGGTGGTTTAAAATGGGGCGATATTTTCCTACATCCAGGTATCAATTAATGAAATTAACTAGGTCGGGTTTTTTTTTATCTTTTATTTCTAAAAAATGTATCGATTATTTAGACACAGGAGGATTAATTGAGAACACTGACCATATTTAAACAGACGAATAGACATACGTATTTAATAAGTAAATATAAACTTTCTTTTCAAATAAATTGAAAAATTTCCCTAATTTTTATTAACATTAATCTCTCTTCTCACCCAGATGTACGTGCACGGGAGTCTAAACATAAGAAGAAATCAGATCACCCGGAAAAAGTCAACGTGATTGGGCAGGTGATACAATACCTTTCAGTCTCGGATTAGGGAATCGAACCTCTGCCGTCTTTCTTTCCCCGAATCTGCAGGGGTATCAGGAAGCAATGTTTTGCTCGTGATGGAGTCACAGTTAAATTACCTTATAGCGAATTCCATCTTTGCGTATTGCAGAGTTATCTTCTCTTGGGAGCAAGTATTGATTGTTATGTCACTTGTTTGTGAGAGTAACGTCATCACGTTTTGAGAAAACGACGTAATTTTCTCACACAAACCAATGACATAACAATCAATACCTGCTCCCAAGAGAAGATAACTTTGCAATACGCAAAGCCGGAATAAGGAATAGAGGACGTTTTTTTCAGTATTTAAGTTTATGTCGATACCAATATCATTAATCAATATATTTAGAACAAAAAAGTTGACCAAGAACTATTCCCAGTGGCCTAGGAGTTTTACATGTATTAATAAACTCACCGAAACAAGTTTATATGCTGAATTCATCAATTTTAATTTTGATTTGTCCCTAATTCAATGTACAATACACTGAATTAGCACATTTATATTACTGAAATTATTATATCTGATGAAAAATACGAAATTGCCTTCCCAGTGGCGGAGATCTATCTGGGGAGGGGGGGGGGGGGAATTGGGGAAAAGGGGGAAAATACATGATTTTTAAAGAAAATTTTTAGGGTGGGGGCTAGTCTCAGGTACGGGGGATTTCCTGGGGATTCTCAGGTAGGGGGATTTCCTGGGTATTCTCAGGTAGGGGGATTTCCTGGAGCCCATAAAATACTGTTAATGGACATTCAACATTGTAAGTAGTTTTTGGCCGAATGGAAGTAAGATTAAACATTCACAAAAAGATTACACTTATCTTAAACTGAAACGTTAAAATGTATAAAAACACAATAATCATCTGTCTGAAATGAGATATCTATCGCATTTCTTAATGTAAATGTCATTTGATTTGAATAATATTGACTAGTCTTTAACAAATTTTTCATAAAAGGTTTATCATTAACTTTGTCACGTGTTTGTTTAAAATCAAATTATTCAGTCATGAACATGTTTTACAACAAGGCTGGTGCTCGTTTCGTAAAATATCAACTTGTGTAATGTAGATGTGGCATACGGTAAAGTCGCCGCAGAAAATAAACATCCTGCGGGTAGCTCTACTCGTATCATATGAAGAAGCAGTAAGTTGAACTACACACACTTATTTATTCATTTCTGAAGGCAAATGTATGTTGTACAATTCGTTTTAAAGGCAATGCCTGATATGTATTCATTTTGTATTCGGCCACTGGGACAATTTAACCCATTAAAAGCAAAAATCATAAAAAGGGAAAACATAAAAGAAAGCACGTCAAACTTCACTGAGTAAATTCAAAAATAAACCTGTCGGCGGTAATTATCATGAATGTCGTTATCATTTAGATCAATTTCTAAAACAACTGAAATATTTCCCTTTCACATTCAGAAGTACTTTGTATATAATGTCTCAAAATGCATTGCATGTACACCAAGGGAATGCGTGACACTAGTATTAACTCTTAGTATTGATTGATGTGCATACTCTATGCCTGGTAAAGGGGTATAGTAGCCCTATTATGTGTTACTTTATATGATGTTCAATTTCTTTTACATTTCTATTTCAGCCGTAAGTATATAGATAATTATAAAACAAGTTATTCCGAAAGAAAATATACAATAAAATAATTATTTTGTTTTATATATAACGCACAGTGGTAGGGTGAAAATTTGTAAATTTGATTTCGATTTTTGTATTGTCGACAATGCAAATCATTTAGGACAAAACAAAACTGTCAAAATAAACGTTCACAGAAAAAAGGATACAACAAACTAATAGTAAAAGGGTTTAAAATGTAAAAACCCTGAAAAAAAAACTTTATTAGTAAACGAATTGTTGTGATGTATCATATCTGTGTTAAGAGAAATTGATAAGCGGGGAATGTATATTCAGTGAAACTTACCCTTAAAAATCTATAAAGCTTCCCCTTTTTTCTAATATAAAAGAACTATTTATAAGCATATTGAATTTTCTCTCCACCCTTGGATTCACTTTGTTATCTTTTCGATTGGTTTCAGGTAAACATTACCAACATTTTGCTTGGCAAACACCTGTCCTTTGAAGATCAGAGAGAAATAATGCCGCGTGATCTTTTTGATATATATCTAAGGATCAAACTGACTTACATATACCGCCCACAATGTGGTGGCTACAAGCCTTCGATTTCCTCATGACACATCCTATGAACGATGTACAGGGACATAAAAGAGTCAGGTCCTTAAATTCCGGGGAAAATATATGTATGGCCACTTGGAAAGTGAATGGGAAAGCTTTTTGGTTTCCAATTTTAATTCAACCTCTAGCGCCGCTAGGCATATGTACAATCTAATGTTGCCTGTTGCTATATACTTACAAGAACAATGACGACTTCTTGTCCACCAATGGGGCTCCTTAGAAATGCCCGGCTTCACATCAGGATGGCGCATAATGCGTATGAAAAGATCAGTACTTCCGCTTTTTGGTTGACCAATCAGCATGAAATATGGAAGACAGCGAAGTAATGAGGTATTGTTAGATCTTTTTCTCCCGAAGTAAAGCTCACAGAGCCTCCCGTTGCGTTTCTTAGATGTATTGCACATTCTTTTTGTCCATTGCGGCCTTCTTTCGTCGTCATCATCATACCAACAGGGATTTTTAAAGCCAGGAAGAAAGACGGGTGGTTTCTGCATAAAGATAACAAATAAACGATCCTAGCAATATATTAACAGGTTAGAAGTAATATTGTTGATTTGCATTTGTTTTCAAAAGTTGTTTCACGGATTTAGCTGAATAAATATTGGTAGGGGGGCTGCCGGTGTTAGTGTTGGTATTGGTTTAGGACAATGATTCTTAAATAACGGTTAGTTTGCTGGTGTAAAGTGCATTTACCAATCAAAAGTGTATGTTAACATATATTGACCAAACTAATGTATAAGTGATTTTTGTTTTTATAATTATTGCTTTATATTGTTGCAACACTATCAAAATCCAATTAATTATCGAAGCTGCTTTCACAGGATCAATGTATTGATAGTTGTTTGAATATTGGTGCTGATAGAGATATTGATGAAATATAATTAAAAAATAGGACGCAATTTGTTTTTCAGTATTACTAATGAGACAGCAGTTCCATTGTACTAGCTTTCCAAGTGTTCCCTGAGCAGAGGAAAATTAAGAACATCGCCCGATCCGTAATAAAGTATTCATTCTTTCGAGAGAGCTACTTGATAGAGAAAGTGATTTTTTTATTTACATCCATCATACTACCCTTTTACGTCCACACATTAACGTTTTATTGCTCCAGAGTATACTATATCCTTTCTTTTTTTTATATGCAAATGAGGTAACCACCTATTATTCTATACGTTGTAATTAACCCAGACCAGGCTATGTCAACAAATTAAATCTTACTGTCAAATACTGTACGTACCTTTTTCAAAAAAATTGTGAACGGGCCTATTGCAGCCATATCATATTCCTCTTCTCCTGTGTAATTCAACTGACCAAGTTCCGATAGGGTCTGGCTGTAACCAGTGTCGTACTTTTTGTTCCAGGGGGACATATACATTCCAGTCTGATGAGGTTCAACGAAATCGGTCTCATTTGTCTTATATATCATGTTAATTGAGAATACCAGAAAAAACGCAACTACCACAAGAATAAGTAGAAATTGCCGGTATAGTTTTATAAAACTTGGCATTATTTAGCCTAATCTTGGAATCCAGAATTAATATCCCACGCGCACGTTTCTGCTACACTTGTCCAGTATCTCTCAGGTTTGTAGGTAGAAGAAGAATTGGTCTCACAGCAGTGGTCGACGGGATAATGTTCTGACAATATGTACATGGTACGACGTCAGCATTGTCCTTGCTTATATTTTCATTCTGTATAGATAAAACATACAGCATACGTGTAATTAGTGTCGTGTTTAAAGTCAATGATAAGCCTGGCGGGAATTGAGATAAAAACCAAGCGTGTCCTTCACGAGAAGCATATATAAACTATTTTTTAAAACATAATCTGGTCAATAATTATTGCTTCATTGACATATATACATGTACAATATACAGAACTTGGTTAAAGTGTAATTATATCCAATCGGCCATGCATGACTAGCCGTTCGAGTAGGACTCTCAGGTGTAGAGAGCAACTTGTGGCGGACCTCTTCATACATTGTTCTTCGTGTTGTATACGTATTGCCTACAGCATGACAGGCGTTTGTAAATGTATTGATTCCCCGTCTCTGTTTAGTCAAGCATTCCCAGCTCCGCTTTGCTGTACCAGTTTAATGTTAAATCAAACTTTGCCGTGTTATCGGGTTTTTATTGAGATTTTTTTGACAATGTTTTTCTTCAGAGATCCAAAGAGGAACCTTATATTGAATTTTATTATAAAGTTATTAACTCCATGTACTTAAATGTCATGCAACCCACCATTCAATGGATATTTACATTTAAAAAGTTTATTTTATTTTCGTTTGGTCTGAACTATGCGGCTGCCTCTTACCAAACCCGTGGAATTACAAAAAAAGCAATTTGTTAAGCTTTCAAATGTTTGCAACAGTTACATTTGTAAGGAAGGTCATATGAGATAAGTTTAGTCCTGAAAATAATCGGTTACTTAGAAAAGAACATTGCTGATGATACTCGCTTTAGAATTCGTGAGACGTAGCTAATCTTTGACCGCCCTGTAGAATTGAGGTCATGCTTGTATGCCCTGTAAATAGGGACACGAAAAACTAAAATAAATGTGCAGCACCCATTGCATCATGGTGATCCTTTATTTGTACCTCTTTTCTTAACGACTAAACGTGCATATGCTCATTTTAACCTCTTTGTTCAGTGTTCGCCCAAGCGAGGAAGGTCATGAACTCTGTCCCGAGACCGAAACCAATTAGAGTCGTTAAAGTTTGTACTTGCTTCACGTTTAGCTTTAAATATTAACAGGCAGTGAAGACTGGTTTTTCATTTCGTTCAAATACAGCCCTGACACCTCTGTATTCATGTAACATTATACATACACCCTATAGCCACTTAATACAACTTAAGCTAGTCAAGTTGCCTATAGCTTGGAATAATTTCGTATTTTAAAAGGGTACTTATGTTTTTATTTACATACACATGGACATTTAACATGCCCAGCAAAGTATCAGATTGCATCAGTGTATAGAATGTTTTCGTCCTATTGACAGCTAAGATCATTTAAGAAAATATCATATCTGGTGTCCATTCTTTAAAGATAATTGGTGTAGATATGCTATTGTTAGCCTCGGACAATATACAAGGAAAGGAGAGTGAGAAAAGGCACGATACAGATACTAAGTGTTGCATTAGAGGCAGCATTTCTGTTCTCTATGTGTTATATATTCTTCAATACTCATAGTCATGCGCGGAACGTCATACATACTTACATGTACATTTAGTTCTTTGCTGTAATGTACAGACTTTTAATACTGTTGGAAATTACCTGATCTGTTGAGACGTTTAACAAAATATAACAAAAACGCAACTTTAAAGGACTCACACAACTAAATGATTTACTACATGTAATTACCTAACATTTTAGCTAATAACTTTAATAGTTGAAGTTCAAAACCAGTGACAACTGTCTAGAAAATGACTTTGTTGGTAGGTTTAGTTGCATATTGGAGTATCACAGCGTCAAGAAGTTGACAACCGGAACTTTACAAGCAAAACCGGTGACCCAAAATAGAAAAGCCTCCTAACATTTTGCCCTTGTGCAAATCCGCACACAGACATGGAAATATATCAAAAGTATACATTTGTCAAAAGTTAAATACCTGAGCATTTCATTCTTATTTAAAAATCTGTCATCAGTTCCTTATTAAACTCATTCGGTGGCCCAGTAATTAGCCGGAACTTATTTTAAATAGGAACTACAAACGTATGAAACATTTGCTGATTGGCTGATTTAGTTGTGTGAGTCCTAAGTGATAATATAAATAACAGTTACATGTACATTTTGTACCCATATCTTCCCTGTACAGATGCCAGCATCATATACAATTATTTACATCCTGCATGGATTTTGATACTCGATACATGTATATATCAACAATACTATTTACAAAACGTGTATGCTTATATTTACATCTTTCAGTTTCAGTCAATTGTTACTATACATTCGTAATGAAAACGCCGATAGTCACCTGCTTTTTAATAAAAACTCGAATAACAGTAGTTACAAACATCAACTTATGTACTGTCCTCACACCTCTCTAAAAATACTATTAACAAAATATGTATGCTTATATTTACATCTTTCACACAGTTTCAGTCAAATACATAAGTATTTCCCGCGCTTAGCATTAACCAAATGACAATAAGGGCTAAATCATTGCCTAAGTCAAGCCATTCCAGTGAAAATATGCATTTAAAGTACCACCATCATCCGTGGACAACGTGTTCATCTGCTTTAGGTCGATATTTATTATAATAGGGAAATATTTATCAAAGTATACATACAATTATTCTTAGCAGAGGCATTCTTACAATTCATGCAGACATTGTATACGGTCTCAGATGTTATAACATACTACTTTTCGAGGTATTTATTAGAAAATATTTACATTACTCTGCATCCTTCCGTTGCAATGCATTGTGAAAGCAGATGTTGTAATGAGACTATAACAACATTTGCTATTGCAATGTTATCAATCTCTATTGTGACGTCAGCAATTTCATTGTCATCAACACTTGATTTGCGGTTCAAAAACTGTTCGAAACAACTAAATAAAGCATAATTACTATATCAAAATGTAAATATAAATAACGAATATTTTAGCAAATATTGTTATGGTCCTATAACAAACATTTATATTGTTGACAATCTGACATAAAGCGCTACCGGACGTTATTAAGTTTTTCATCAAAAGCAACGCGTGTTCTAGGACCATAACAACATTTTCTAAAACATTGTTTGTTTATTTGAATCACGTGCATGTTTATATAGAGAGGCAGTCAGAAAATTACTAATGTATCTTCTATATTTATATTTTGAAATGCCATCATGTATCATCCCCATACAGATTAACATTTTCAATTTGCTCTTCCTCAATAAACTAATGTACTATCAATTTCAATTAAAAAGTAGGACCTTTGGATAACTCGTTGTTTTTTGCTGATTAACATCCATCAAGAGACAAATGGACAGTTTCTAATTTCATCCTTTTTGGTAAAATATAACATGACGTCTGGGTATTAGACATCTACGGAACTCTACTTCTCATCGCTTTTAAAAGTTACATCAACATTTGAATGGTACCAGTGTCATCAGACAGGATTCACCTGCTGTGTATCCTATCTTTTCTTCATTTCTTGTTTGTAAAGTAAATAGAATACGAAGATAAACTATGAAAGAACGCAATCA